TTTTTATGTTGTTTGATTTCCATTAATTAATCAGGCTTTATCTGCATTTGACTTGTTAAACAATATTAGTATAATTTATGGCATTCTGAATTCAAGGAGGGATGATGCATCCTTTCAAAGCTCCAAGAAATTAATGAACTCCAAGCTTAATTGACAAAAATGTAAATATTACTTGGAAATGGAGGTAAAGATGCTAGTATTTGGGATAATTAATTTATTTTCAAGTGTTAGTGGGCAGAATTATGAATTTTGTGTTTCTGATGTTAGAAGTGCTATCAGTGGTAGCCAGTTTTTCTTTTTTTTTAGCACCTCATCCAAGGCAGTCAGATGTTTAATTAGGAAGAAAAATAAATCCATCACCACTTCAGATGCTGCTATTTATCAAATAAATTGCTTGCAATGTAAAAGCACTTACATCAGAAAGACATATCAGATTCTAAAAGTAAGTATCTACAAGGGATCTATATTTGTAAAACCCTTTCAACTTACTCAGAGGAACAAAACTGGCCATAACTTTGATTTTATGCTCTGCCACCCTCATTAAAAAAAGCATAATTGTGTGTGTGTGTGTTTGTGTATCTATTAGGCACAAACAAATGAATATACATTTGAATCCTGCCTAAACAAACTAGAATTATGATATGCATACACACATGAATTATACATGTAAATGTTGTTTGACAAGACTGATGAAAGTGAGGTTTGTTTAACCAATGGAAAACAAATGACACAAAAAGTAAAAATAGAATTTTCTTTCTTTTTCTCTTCCATGTCTCATTTTCTGTAGCTAAATATAATATATTTTGTAATAAAAATATATATATATATATATATATATATATATATATATATATATATATATATATATATATATATATATATATATATATTATATGACAAAAATAATGTTCTGTTAATATATTTGACTTTTGGATTGCACAAATGATGAAAATGTATGATTTGGGGAATATGAATTGGATACACTGCTTTGTTATTCTCCTTTGGTTAAAATTTACAATCTCATGCAAAATACATCACAATATTTGTTTTTTTTTATCTTTTGTGTGCATGCAGACCAGAGCTTACTTTAAAAATGTTGAGATGCTCAAGTTTTACTTGAAGTTGACATGCAATGTGTAGAAAAAATTTTGTCAGTATTTGTCACCTTGTTTTTAAACAAATACACATCATTTTACACTTGAAATGGCTGGATGTAACTAGTTCTATGCTAGCAGTTTGTGGAAATCTCTTCTGACTTCTTGCTTCTCAGTCAACTTTGGCCTTCAAATTTGAAATGCAATATCAATCATTATCTTTTGTCTTAATTCTTGTTCTTTTATTGTCCTTTCTCCTTAACAGTGTTTTTTTTTCTCATATTCTCTAACACTCTATAACTACTTGCATCTTAGTGGCTTTATTGCCTTGTTTGGAATGAAATATATATATATATATATATATATATATATATATATATATATATATATATATATATATATATATATAAAATTATTAATAAATATATATAATATATTTTATGTTTATACATTATTTTTTTATAAATAAATGTTTTTAAGTAAATGCTCTGTTAGGTTTGTAATACACAAATGTCCTCAAGGACACATGGCACAGTGGATAAAGGCATTAGTAAGATCCAGTGACAGAACCCAAAGAGTCTGTGTTCAATACCCAGCTATGGCAGTGGAGAACTTTCAGAGGGAAATTAACAGGAGACAACTGATAACTGACATCCATTAAACATGGCATGTGGAACTAGAACAGTCTACCCCAGTGAGCGAGATACAGGGTTCAGTTTGACATACCAACCACCTGAAGAAGGCTGGAGCGTACAACGGCCAAAACATTGTAATAAATATGGCGACAAAGATGAGGACAATAGTCCGAATAATGTACAGGAATTTATGTTGGTAGGTTTTTTATATGGGGAGATAATGAACTTATTGTTATTAATGTTTATCAGTATATCTAGAAAAGGAATTTTGTTACTATTATTAAGTTTGTATATAAACTTAAGGACAGAATTTTCCTAGAATTTTTTTTAGAGTTTATGTATTACTTCCATATTCTTAACTAATATAAGGATATAATTGACATATCTATTTTTAAAAATTGTTAAATATGTTATTTTTGAGATTAGGCATATCGAAAACTGAAAACATAGAGAGGCCATACCATTATGTGTGTATATATATATATATATATATATATATATATATATAACGTCATCCACAGACAGACTGTTTTGTTGTTTCACAGCTCATCAGTGTCGCTAGACATCCGGTTGCCTCTAGCGAGGATCGAAACCCGACTGAATTGGCGTCAGTCGGAGATTCTACCACTAAGCTGTTGGCACACAGCAGGGATGAAGGTGAATTTTAGCGTATTTATTTTTAGAAACACACACAATGACAGTGACTCAATTCATATATATATATATATATATATATATATATATATATATATATATATATGTCATTTTTGTGATCATGGAATGGGACTTTGGTAGTGCAAATTATCAGTAGTTTCCATAATATACTAGGCCTGATTTTAAGTGGAGGTAGAGATGGATTATTGTATATGTTTCTTATAACAATATTGATAGTTTTGCAAATGGACATTAGTGAATAAGTTTTTGACATCATGTGAAGTTATGGTTTCATTATTTAGAATTTAAATTACTTCAAGAGGTGATTTTATGCTGTATTTCCTAGGAAAATATGGTGTGATAAGTTGGATGATGATTTTTGTTAATTGATACACAGCAGTGGGAATTTGTGATATAATAGAAATACCCTGATATAAACATAGCCTGAGGATGACATTGTGCTATGTCAAAAGTACTCAGAATAAAAGAAATATGTATCAACATAGCAATTTTCTCTCATCCTTCAATAACACCACCAAGAAGCTTATCCATGAATATGAAAGGATTCAATTGAAAATAAGTAGACAAAACATGTCTAACTTATTCAACAAAACATGTCTCAATAAAAACATGCTGCCAAAATATATGCATATATATATATATATATATATATATATATATAAATATATGTGTGTGTGTGTGTGTGTGAAAAATATATAGAAAATCGGAAAGAACTCGTTAGGTAAATAACCCAAAGGTCTTTAGTATTTTGTTATTATTTTTAAAAAATAGTGCTCGATACAAAAGTAGAGCATAAATATAATTATTTGGAATCATATTTTAAATAAATAATTATATATATATATATATATATATATATATATATATATATAAAATATAAAGTGAACATAGAAGCAATAGATTGCAGTCTGTTTCATGCTATATGAAACAGACTGTCACCTCTAAGTGTTGACTATATGTTCACTTTTATATTTACACACACTCTATCTCTGATATTGAGCACTTTATCCCATAAATATAGCACACCTTAAGACTATATTTCTTTATATATATATATATATATATATATATATATAAAATGAACAATAAAATAACCTTTTGCATTGCAATGATGACATGCTGAGAAATAACAATAAAAAAGATTTTATTTTTTATTTCTTGAATGCAAATGACTCATTCTTTAGGAAAGCAGCATTATTAATAGCATTAGTTAAAAAAACATTTTTCATTGATGAATATCATACATGTTCTTTCATTCACACACATTCTTTTTAATAAACCTCTTCAAACATAAATACTTCAACTACAAATTTGTATGTCCCTGATATATTTCAGTAGTTAGAATTCAGGGCTGAAATAATTTGGTTTATAAATGTACTACCCCAACTTTTGCAGCTCATGGGCCACAGTTAATACACATTATAAAGATATAATGATTCTTATAAGAAATTTTGTTTTACCACGCTTGCTAAACAACTAAAAGGAATCTGCTTTAAAAGCAGTGATGGTGCATACCCTGAATCCATCATAAAACTTCAGAATGTGGAATTAGTAAATACAAAACACTTCAAATATCTCAATGTATGGATATAGGGAAATTGGACATAGGCTTTGCCCAATAACATAAACTGCTATGAAACCAAAATATTGACCTAAAAACTCAAGTCATGTTCTTAAATGGCCTTGTCAGATCAAGACTGGATGCCATTCATGTTTCATTCAGAAGTATCTAAACTGTCACCTCTATACAACCGTTTTCAAAGATCAATGGTTTAAAATTGACTTTATGCAGGTCTTAGTGAAGACCAAACTTCCTTGAACTTTATGGATTGGCACTACAGAATCACAAAGAAAGAAGTATACCAACTAACAGAAACCACATCACTTGAGAAGTTTCAATTGCCTGCAACAATTATAATGGATAGCACATGTAAATCAAATAGAAAATAATTATATAATCAAGATGCTGGCATTCCACAGTGCCTCAAATAAAATGTTAGGAAGGAAACCCTCATCAATACTGGAATGAGTAATAAGAGCTACTGGATTATTTTCCTGAAAATTGTTTTAAGCGAAAGATTTTTAGAAATTTCAACTGACACTAGTACTGGCTGCTCATTCAATGAATGCTAAATGTTTCCTTATAAAGGAATGGATAATATTGTCATTACTATGGTCATCTAAATCTTGAAGGGTCATGGCACATAAGTCCTTATCCTGTAATCTGAAACAGTGAATTAATTTTCTTAAGAATGATTTCAATTGTATAATAGAAAACAAAACATGTCATTTTTTGTGAAACTATAAAAACAAGAAAATTGCATAAGAAACAATATGAGTGAAAAAAAAAAGGACTGAGAAAATAAACTGGTTAAATCTGATCTGTAAATTACAATGCAACCAATGAGAAAAATCAAATTAGGAATACAGAGAAATTAATTTTAATCATTGAAAACATTTGAGAGTTTCAAACATCTTTCTAATCTCTATTGGAAGTGTTGAATATTTTTGGAGTCTGTTTATTTGTAAACTACTTAAGTTGCTTCACGGGTCACATGTGCCTAATAAGTGACATGTTATGTTCTGGTGAAGGCTTACAGCCACATCGCATAGAAACACCAGTTCTTATATGATCACTGAAGTTAAGCAATGTTGAGTCTGGTCTGTACCAAGATGGGTGACTGATTGGGAATACCATGTGCAGTAAGCTTGGATATACAGGTGGTCTGATAGATAATGGCTCAGAATTATTAATGAAAGAACCAAGTTGGGTTAATTATATTCACTTACATGCAAATAACTTTGGGAAATGTATGAATCCACCCCAGCTATGAGTTAATTAGTAAAATTTGTATTTTTAAACCATTATTATCTATAAAAAAAATTCTTATCATCTAAAAATATTTTCTGGCTTTAAATAACCTGCATAAGTTGATAAGCCATATAGAGTAATCAATCAATACCATCTAATGACAAGTGATATCAAAGTTTTGATGATTACAAGAAAAATTATCTAAGCTAACTTGTATATTAGGTAAGATCCTTTTATAACATGAATAAATACATCAGAATAATCATGGCTTTTTCTAATTGTATATAATATTTGTATATAGCGAATTAATGTAAAACACTTAAATTAATTGCTATTAAGCATGTTTGTAATTTACATAAAGTAAATCAATAGAATAAGAAAAAGAAATTTTTATTACCATTAAGTGCCATAATGAACACCCAACTTGTTGATACATGAATAGGATATTTGAAGGAATGGTGAAAAATTCTTGGCTCAACCTCAAAAATTTTAGTTGCAATCTCCTGCTGAGTTGGGCCTCTTTGGCTATGTTTTGTATTTTGGGTAGAATTTGTATGTGCATAAATGAATGTAATGCATAAAGTGTGATAAGGAACTAATATCAAGGCCATTCTTGACCACCTGTCCTATCTTTCTTAGTCAGTGGGAAAAGTTGCCAAATGATTGCGCCAGTTGAAGACGTGATTACATGGATGTTGTTCAAACCACAGAAGCAAAGTTGGTCCTGCAAGCATAAGAACACTGTCAAAGATATCGCATGCAGAATGCCTAATCTAATGCCATCCAAAGCCTTTTTCAGATGCCCTCTTGCAGAAATGTATGCTGTTTCCATGTTCTTCTAATCAGCTACACAAGAACCCACCCACTATGAAAGAAATTGGACAACTTCATCTGAAAAGATGATCCACAATGCCAATGAAAATGCCAAAGTTATTATACGGACATTGAAAAGAAACTGAATCAAGAGTGAAAGGGTAAGATTTGACGCTTGTTCAGCCTTTCATATAAAAGGTTACCCAAGATATGCTTCTATAGGTGTAGCAGTGTCACAGAACTATTTCCCTTACGCATAACCAGTATAACACCATGGCGTAGGGATACTATAAAATCACTCAAACTTACATGCTCAACAGCATTGGGCCTAACACATAAACTCACTGTCTTGTTATTGTATATACCTTATTGTTAATAAAGGCTCATTAAGTTATCGGTGCCTCACTTGTAATTAGCACAACAATATAACGCCTCCAACTTTACATGGTATCAATGGAAAAAAGACACTTTCTCAAAGAAAAACAAAATTAAAACAAAAGAAAAATGAACAACAACAATAACAGACATTGGAACTAAACAACATGAAAAACATCACACAGCAAACAGTAACAAGAAGCACAAATGACCCTCCAAAACATGCTGAATTGCCTAACATTGGGGTTTAATTTTTAGATGTTGTTATTTTATTCCCCCCACCCAGACAAACTGTAGATATGGAAACTAGTTAGAACTACACAGAAACTTTGAGGTATTATGATAGCTGTAGTAAGAATGGTAAGTAAGAATGTGTTGATTTGGTGTAATAAATACTGTGGTATGTTTGCATCTGTAACCGTGGCTAGTTAAGTTTAAGATAAGACAGATTGAACACCAGCCCTCACCTATCCCCCCACTTTTGGCCTTGTGCTACATTTTTGTATTAAAACAAAATAAATATTATTTTCCTATGTTAACAGTTTCTTCTTTCGAATGACTCTAAAATTATAAGCGTATTCAATTGTCCAAATTCTGAAAGTCTTTTACTTTTACCTTTCTTGATTGCAATACAATTTATTTTGGAGGATGAGGAATTATTCAGTTCTTTTAAAAAGAACCTAATTTGCCAAATCAGAAGGAAAATGTCTAAAATAATCTCAGGAATACTTCATGATAAACATTTGAAACCAATAATGAGTCAGTAAAAGTGACCCAATGATCAACAATAAAAGTGTTTTTCATTTGTAGTCAAAAAACTAAGTATGGAATTGGTGACTATCAGATTGTAAATGGTACATTAAATACTCATTGTTCCAATTTGGGGAAGTGGGCATTAATGGCTATAATTAATAAAAAATGTTTTATGAACCAATAATTAATACATTATTTTAATATTAATTTTCATATTTAATATTAGATTTTACAATGGACATTGATAGGTTGTAATACCTCATGTGAACCGTAGCATGTTGGCAAGTCAGAAGGGATCCCCAAGCCCATCAGTTGCTTCAGAATATTTAATTACAATTCATGCCAATCCTTTCTCACAAATCTTTGCTTCTAAATTGTTTGACTTGTTTGGGGGAGATCTTTATTTCTGTATGTAATTGTTTTTCCATTTTCTTTACGTTTTTTTTTTTTTGTTTCATTCTCATTAATTTCACCCTCACTCCCAATTCCTTGTTACCACCAAAAAGAAAATCTTTTCATGTTTGATTATCCAAAGTTGTTAATCTTTCCTTCTGTACAGAAAATTTCTTTTTCTTTTGTACTCATTCTTTTCCTTTTTTTTTTCTTTCAGCTTTCTTTTCACTCTCATTTTTCTATCTTTTTTCTCTTTCTTTTCCATCAGCTACCTTCATAGTTCTTCTTTACATTCATTCATTCACCTTTTCTTTTTCTTTCCTTTTTCTTCTTTCTCACATTTTCCTTTATATACTTCTTGCTGTCATGCAACTCTTTTTCTTTATTTATCTCTTGTCTAAGTTTTCTTTTTCACTTTGTTTCTTTTTTGCATCTGAAGACCATCCCAAGAGACACTTTCATTTGCTTTCTCATTACCCAGAATAGCCATTCATCATTTGAATGCATCTGGCATCATCAGCTCAACCAGCTTCTTTTCTATTTGGAACAATAGAAAAACAATGTTTACTTATGTCAAACAAACGACCATCTGATTTACCTTCTCTTGAAAATAGCGAAACAATCTCCTCACCTTTATTAATCAATTAACGGATAATTGGAGTGAAAAGTGAAAAGTTTTACTCCATCTTGTATGTTACTGAAGTTCAAAATGATTTTCACAGTTTTCTCTAATTTCTGCTTGGTTTAGTTCATGTAAATCAGTAAACACAAAAGAAAAGAAAAGAAAAAAAAATCCCCCCCTCCCCAGACAAAAAAGAAATATCAAATGTCATTTCTATTCACCCCACTCCTCCATGGACAAAAAAAAAGGAAGTATGAAATGTCATTTCTATTCTCCTCCTCCCCCGACTAAGAGAAAAAAATGAAGTATCAAATGTCATTTCTATTTTAGGGATAAAAAAGATGTATCAAATGTCATTTCTATTTAACCTCTAGGACAAAAAAAGAAATATCAAATGTCATTTCTACTCTGCCACCCACCCACCAACAAAAAAGAAATATCAAATGTCATCCTATTCCCCCAACCCTGCCCACAGGACAAATAAGAAGAAGTATCATATGTCAATTCTTGATTTTAAAAAGCTTAAATAATTACTTATCCTATAAAGCATGTCTCATGAAGCATGTATAGCTAAGCAATGCGGATTGTAACATTTGTTAATATTAAACATCTTGCATACATGTGTGTGTGTGTGTGTTGTTAAAAATCTGCTAAATTTATAGGGAAAAGTGCTTAATATTGGAAATAGACCATTTATAGCATAGATATAGCATTGACATATGACTCAATACTGCATGGTGAATGTCAGTTTCATTAAAATAAAAAATGCCTTATTTTAATTTGAATTCTTTTTATTTTTTGTTTATATATTTTATCTTTATATTTTATTTTTATTATGACTCAATACAAACCGATGTGTGAGAAAATTGTGTTAGAATATGATGAAGAGGTAATAAAGATCATATTCAATAACATACACTGAAAAAATATACACTGAAATCTTAAAAAAAAGATTATAAAACTATTGCAGTGATCTAGTGTGCAATAACACTTTAATCACACTAGTAGTTCACTGTAACACATTTGACCAGAATTTCAACTGAGAAGAAATGCCAGTCTGATTAAAAGAGAAAAGAACTTTCTAAAAAAATGCATTGAAAGTACACTGATCTCATAATTCTCTACAGTAAATCTCAGACTGCGCTCATTACAATATATATTAGCAGCACAATATGGCATATGAACTAATAGGGAAACAAAAACATATTTACATTTCAAATCCAGCAGATATAAACAGCTTCAGTATGAAAAGCAAAAATAAACAAAATCCCATCAAAAAGCAACTCTCTGGCCAAAAGATCTCATAGGAATCTTTCTTACCTGTTTTCCTTATTCCAACACATTTTCTCACAGATGGGTTTGTCTCTCATTCTAGCCAGAAGACACCTACTATACTGCATATACTACTAACCTTACTATAAGTCATAGTTTAATTGCTTTTCCCCTTTCTCTCATTAGCTTCATATTTGTACATATCAGAGGTCCCCAAACTTTTTTTCTCTAGGCTGCATTTTTAGAATTAAAATTTGCTTGCACCTCACAATTTTATGCGATAAAAAGTACATTTAAAAATAAAAAATAGAGGGCTAAAGAGAGATAACCACAAATTTGATATCAGAACATTATCATTGATAACTCTCCTCCAATTTGCAGACCCTAGTTACTATATTCTTAATACTTGATATAATGCAAAAATATCCCAATGATAAAATCGGTCAATAATTATTTATAACTATTTATACTTGGACTCATGCATGCAATTACAAGGAATCCATAATAATATTTGAAATTTTGAAATCATATTTATTTTTGGCATATGAATTTTTTGAAACTGTTTCTAAATCTTTGATTGTCTTTCAATCATTCTGCCTCACCTGCTATCCTCTTCCACTGCTTGGAAACCACTGGTATATATGAATATGTACATATTAGTAGATTAGAATCAAAATAAAATTTTTGATAAATCAAAGTGGAAAACAGTTTTATTAACTATGCATTTCGTCTTCATTAGATAGGCTTCTCCAGGTCAGAATGAAAGAAATCTTTATGTTTGTGTTTTAATATTCAATATAAATTAAATATTAAAATGCACAAACACAGATTTATTTTATTCTGACCTGAAGAAGCCTATCTAATGAAGACAAAATGCATCGTTAATAAAACAGTTTTCCACTTTGATTTATCAAAAATATGAATGTATGTATTACGTCCATTGGCTTACATATTTGAGAAATCTTAGTAAAGAAATTGTTTTCCTTAAAAGAGGAAAATGGAATCTTGCTGGACGTGACATTTTCTGTGACTGAGCGGTGAAGCACACTGGATCACACAGAGATTTCTCCTACAAAGAGGGATGCAAATTTGATCCCTGTCAGAGAACACATTTTCTTTACTAAGATTTATTGAATGCACTGATTGATAGATGTAATAGACAATGTTTAACAAATAAAAATAGAGTGTCTATTTCAAATACAGAGTATGCACTATAATAATGTTTGAAGTAATAAAAATGTTAGATTAAAAATAAAATCCATTCACTCTTTATAAAAATATAAATGTATGTGTAAATGTCTATATGTGAGATTATCTGAAAATATTCCCAACTGAATTTAAAAGCCTTTATTTTCAAAAATTTCCAATTATGGGTTCAGTTTTTTACCTGAATCTTTTTAGTGATTTTTTGCATCAGAAATTATTCTTCCTCAGCAATTCTTCTAAAGTAAAATATTTTGCCATATTTTGGTGAATTGGCAAAAATAATAGGGGAAACTTTGGAATGCTCTAAATAGATTTGGTTTTCTAAAATTAGGGAAGAAAGTAATGAATGCTTTTTGCTGGCCAGAAGAATGGAGAGAAGGCATTTTATCAATAATGGATTGCAGCAAAAATAGACATTACTTGGGAATTGATAATCAGGAAAGTTTTAAAAATATATTTATTTAGGTCACAGATTCTAACTCAGGTTTTATTGAATTTAAGTGACTTGTGGCCAAGATATTGTAATAATGATTATCATACTAGGTTTTCATGCCAATAACAGTTGGATGTTCAGGTGGTGTAAAGAATACTGGCTTGGAATGAGAAGTAAGCAAGCCAAGTTCAAATACCTGTTGGGTTTGTTAGATTCACTTACGCGTAATTACCCTTGGGAAATGTATGAATCCATTATCCTCCCTAGCTATATGCTTACAGCCAAAACACATTGAAACACTGGTTCCTGTATGATCAACAAAGTTAAGCAATGCCAAGCTTGGTCAGTACCTAGATGGGTGAATCCTTGGGAATACCAGGTACTACAAGCTTGGCTATGTGAGTGGTGTAATGGATAATGGCTTTGAATTCTCAGAGAGCTGAATTCCAATTCCATTTGGGTTAGTTATATACACTTATGTGCAAATATCCTTGGGAAACATGAATCCAGCTCTTCTCCCCCAGTAATAGGTTAATTAGTAAGACTTGTATCACTAAACCATTATTATCTACAAAAAAATCTGATAATCAAAAAATACTTTGTAGCTTTAAATAACCTATAAAAGGGTTGATAAACTGTAGAAAACAAATAAATCTCCCTAGCTATGGGTTAAATATTAGGACTTGTATAAGGAAAATATTTGTTATTCTAAAAAAAAGTTAATGCGATATTCACTTGCAAAAAAAAAAAAAAGAATTATTCTTACAATTCAAAATAAGTTTTGACTTTATATAACACAAAGTGTTGATAAACCATAAAAAACAAATTCACTAGATTTTTAGGATTGTTACCAATGCTCTAACAATTAACTTCATATTCACAATGAAGTAGGGTGTGCTGATTAAAAGATAGCACAGTACTTGAATCTTCATTCTATGATATTTTATTCACTCCAGTATTTTGTCAATTATTCCCAGCCAGTCTGTGGTATGCAAATAGCATCAGATGTCTCTTGTCTGATTTGTAAGTCTTACATTCTCTTGTGCCTGTGATGTAAGTTAGACTGTTCTAGTCATCTCTGGGGTGGTTGTTTCTATATTTATTTGTGCAGATACATATCAAACTTTATACTTTCTTTCAATTTTACTCTGTGGTCTACCAGGACAGAAAAATCCATTATTCCCCTTTTTCTCACCACCCATTGGATTTTCCTTCAAATGTTACCATCCACTTTGGAAATCAGAGTTCTAAATTATTCATTTTATTTATGTTGTCAGTTTAAATTGATTATAATAACTTATCCACTAGTTTAAGGCCATATCAAGTTGAAAAACCGGTTCTCATCCATTGGGCAATAAGATGTGCTGTAAACTGTGACAAGCCTAACAAGCCAGCAATGGATATAATCTCACTATTTATATTAATAGAAGACCTTGGCATGTTGAAGTGCTTCTGGACTGACAGGTTGCAAAACTTACCGCTCTTTTAGTTAGTGATTGACTTTTTGACTTGTTTCAAAAAATGATGCATTCCTGTTCCATATCTCTACTTGTATTTAATCGAATTTACCCCAAGCAAAACAGTAAAACCATTAAGACACAAGGATTCAGTGGATGTGGAAGAATTAGAAAACAGTAGATAATGAATGACATTGCATTAAATTTTGTTGGCTGGAAAACATGGAGCCAGAAGAAAGTTCCACAAGTGAGAAGTGTGAGAAAAGAAACAGTTAGCATAAAACTTATGGTTACATCTAGCCAATTCAAGTTTAAATCAATGAGACCTTGTTGCCAATCTAGTACTGTGCTTGAATTCATAAAGTCTTGGTACCATAGTGAAGTGCTCATCTGAACAATTACCATGAAATTATTTATAAAAAAGGCACAGGGAAGCAACTTTACAGCAATGAAAAAGTAACTGAAGCTGAGTCACCAGATCAGGACCAATAATATTGCTGATTCTTCTTTGGATTTTATCAAGAATCTCTAAATAAATCGAAGCAGCAGTGGACAATATGTGGCAGCAATATTCTAGGCATGGGTAAATGGTAAACTTATAGATATGTAAGATAGATTCAGGAGAGAAAAATTACCTAGTACAACACAATGAACAAAATTTTTTCGAAGCTGACCTAGAAATAGAATCAATGTAGTCTTTCCATTTCATGTCAGCTGAGAATGTTAACTCAAGAAGCGGCAATGAGTCAGTCTCCAAGAGGTTAGCATCAGCCATGTTGCTGGAACGCAGAAAAGGGTTTCTCAGATAATGAATAGAGAGCAGTTTAGTTTTAGAGGCATTAAAATTAACAAACCATTATTTGCACCAGTTAACAATAGTTTGTAGGTCATTTGTGAGATCAGCCATCAATTTGAATTGAACTGATTAGACTTAGTATTGAGACTGGAGTAAATGGTTTTGTCATTAGCATAGACACTAAGTTGAGAGTTAATACCATCAGCAAGGTTGTTAATGAAAATTAGAACAAAGTGGGACCAAGGATAGAGACCTGGAGGGGGACACCTGCTACTGTCTTTTTCCTCTTTGATCCATCAAAGAATTTAAAGTACAGTTGACAGCAACACTTGAAGAAATGGTCTCTGAAATTAAATCTGTCAAAAACCTGCATATGAATTCTACATGATAAATCTAATAATCTAGAAACAGTCCAAAAGCTGAAGATTCAGTCATGTACAGAAAAACTTGAACACCAACCACTTCTGGTCCATCGCAAAGAACAACAGTGACAATTAGCATGTGTTTATTGTGGTAGAAATAGCTGAAAAGCATTAAGCAGTGTCTCTCTACTGCTCATGTAAATGACTTTGCTATACTTAAGCTAATCATAAGAGAGAGTTCTTCCCTTCACTTGTGTGGTTTTTCTTAAGTGGCAAGCACACTTATGGTATGATTTGTGTTAGCCTGATGTTCGTGTACCAATTTCACAGCAGTCAATCATTTTGATACAACTGAAGGTTTGATCATGAGGTTCCAAGACTTATGTTTTTTGTGGTTCACACAAACTTTTAAAAACCTTGTTTACCAATTCCTGTTCTACTATATATTCACAAAAGCTTGTTAAGTCAGTGTTTCAAATACTTAAGAATGCAAGTTGGTTCTTGTGACTATCTCTTACTATTACATACTAAATGTAACATTCAAATAGATTAATTGCATTTAGTACTGGGTTATGCACCTTCAGGATAGTGTGCACCTTGGTGCAACAGGTCAGTCCATGCAAAAAATAAATCAACCTGCTGCTTGAGGAATTCTGTTGGATAATCACACAGAATAAATGCTACACTTATTAACATCATCTCCAGACTTGTAGACATTACCTTCTTCATACCAGAAATACAAAAATATTTAAGAGAAAAACTGTTGTGGAGTTATTTCGCAGTGGAGGCTTGTATTTGTACTAAATCGGTCCTAAATAGTTTGGCGTACAAAACGTTAGGAACTTGATATAATAGGTATTACGCAGAGTAATCTTGTTGTGGTCACTGACTACTTTCGTATTCGACTAACTGTCGACTACTGTTGTCCGACATCGGCTGACTCTCATTGCTCTTACTACTCCTACTTATATTAGGTGGGAGAGTCTACTAACTATAGAATAGGTGTGTTTCACCATAACAAAAACTCAAAAAAAGCATACAAAAACTGGATTTACAGAATCCACTTCTCTTTCATGTGCCAGTACCCTATTTTTTTATGTCCAGTGTGTCTTCAGGACAAAGGTCATCATGGCTCTTCACAACTTCCTATCCTTTGTAATACTGAGCAATATTTGTCCCTTACCAGTCCCTGTTCTGCAATCTCTTTGCAAAATTGAGGTAGGTTTTTCAATGGTTCCTGTTGCCTCTCTTGCTTTCAATGTCTTGTGGGTGTTAAATTCTCCAAGCTTCTTCTGCTCATTATGTGTCCTAGAACATTCAATTGTCTTTCTGTGTTCTAAGTACAAGTATCATTTTAGTTTCCATTTTCCTTAAAACCTTCTTGCCATTTCATATGTTTTGGCCCTAGAATTCTTAGCTTACTTCTGTAGAACAACATGTCTGTTACCTCAAGACTCCTCTTCATCTGTGAAGAAATTGTCCAGCATTCTCTGCCATATATTTAACATAATCAAAAACCAACTAAAATCAAGGTGATTTTTGCTACAGCAGCAAATCGTAATTTAGGAAAATGGTTTCTCCGGATAATATATGTTGGTATTTTGAACTGAGCCATTACTTTGGTCCACCAGGATAGCTTGTTCTAGTTCCACATACCATGCCTTTTCTGGATATCTCAGTTTCAGTTATCTCCATTTAGTAACTTAACTATCCAAGATATTTTTTTTTTGTTCACCTCTGCTGTGGCCAGGTATTGAACTCACAACTCTTTCGGTTAAGTCACTGGATTATTTCAGCCAGTGTTTTTATCCACTGGGCTATGTGTCCTTGGGATGAAATAAAGGGTTCAGTTTGAAATTCCAATGTATATCACCTGAATAAGTGTACAACAGCTGAAGCATCATGAATATGTCAATAAAGACGAGGACAATAATCTGAACAATGTAAATAGTGTAAATAGTTACAATCCTTCATCTCTGAAATATAGACAGATAAATATGATATATTTTCTAGAATATCTATCTATCTATCTATCTGTCTGTCTGTCTGTTTAGCTCACTAGCTTACAAAATGAATTGATTAACTTTTTAAACTGAATTGAAACCTTTTAGACAAAGAAAAAATAATATGAGATTAATTCTGATTAAATTTTGTCTAAAGTGAAAGAGGATAATTTAAACAGATTTGGATGCCTTTTATAAAATGTTTTTGCCATCTTGTGCTGCAGTTTTTATTTAAAATTGCTCTCAGTTAATGGCCATCTGTGTTCTTTCTCACAAGTGTCAGGTGGTGATGCCATGACAGTTTCAATAATGACTAGAATTTTCTTACAAAGCAAGAAAAAGAGAAAGAATAACAAAATGCAAATCAACCTGATTATAATGATTAGTATTATTTATTAGCATTTCAATGAAAATTTTTTCATAGTTTCTGCAACTTTATAAAAACCTCACACACTTTCTGAATTTTACTTTTATAATTTTCTGGAGAAAAAAATAAAAGCATGATATATTTTTTTTTTTTTTTTTTTTTTAAAAATAAGATTTGATTTTTCTCTTCTGAAATTTGTCTTTTCTCTTTTTCTTTTTGACCGTGAAAAACTTCTGTCAGATTTGACCTGCCACAATTAATCCTACAAATTTCCAAAGTCAAATGAAAGAATAACTGAAAGCAAATCTTAGTTCCTTGAGTGATGACGGTAGATTAAGTTTGAAGTTTGATGACATTTAACTGAAAATTTTAATCATCTCAAAATAAATAAATTCAACATTTA